TACATCATTAATCAAATTAGTATTATCCTTACAAGAGCTAATCTATTTTAGCAGGTTTGGGGTTGGGGTCAGTAATTCTACAATGGTATTTGTGCTGGAAACTTCTCAATATCTAAATATCTACTATTGTGTTTTTGGGCTACACCCAAATACATCAAAATGCTTTTAAATGCTTTTGAATCTCTGTTGGTTCTAATCTATTTCATTGATCTAGGCATTAATCTAGGCTACACTCATATGAACTTTTTGTATTGTCAACATTCACTCATGTTTGAACACAAGTGAATTTGGCAGTATCTAATAAAACTGTACATAAAACTGTAAGTAACTTTATCTACTTTTGAAGTAAATGCTTGTGAAATGGTCCCTTTACCATTTGATATTAGCACTGGCTAAGAATATTCTCTATTTTTGAAAGCATCTATGGTTGATGCATTTATCTATTTCTCTATTTTTACTCTATTTTTTAACTCCAAAGCTCGGCTGCAGCTTGAGCAAAGGCATATTCCTAATTTGTGACTTCTGTCACTTTTAATATCTCTAAAATACTCTGATTCTAATATTATAGCTGATCTATCAAAAGGATAACATTGTTGGGTACTATTTTAACTCTTATGTGGAAATGTGTTTATGAACAACAAAGGAAGTCAAATTCTACTCTTTTACTACTATTTGACATCTACTAAAACGCTACAATACTTATACTTTATCATTTTCAAAGTTTTTGTCTGTCAGATGTCTGAATACTTAACATGTATATTGCATTTGTCACAGTTTCTGGTTGTAGCAATAGCATCGGCAATAGACGTTTTCATTGGCTGGTTCTTGTTCTGCAAATGTCTGTGTCCAATAGATCATCAGATGTCCAGAAGCTAGGGACAAACAAAAACAAAAGAAAGAATCATGAGTATCTGTCTCATTTAGCACTCATCAATGTATGATTTCAAAAATATAAACATCACTCCCCAGTTTTCTCTCTCAGGTCCTCAGGTCCTCAGGTCCCCTGAGGGTGAGTCTCAGTCGTCATCAGGTCAGGTCATAGAGAGACGTCATCTTGGACATCAGTAGGGTCCAAGCCATGGTTTTGGTCTCTCCAGATGCACATCAGGATCTCCAGATACAGTCTTTTCACTTGAAGCACATCAGGTCATTTGCGATGCACTTCTGGTCAATGGTGCAGTGTCTCAGTTCCTGTACACAGCTTGTAATGCAATAGTTACTTTCTATGGTTAAATCACTTTGATTCTACTTTAACACAATTTCTATTCATGCTGTTGCTAATGTCCCTCAGACAAAAAGCAAGCGCAATGATTCAGTTTACTTCTCTAATTTGTGTTTTTATCAGATCTAATTCTAATCAATGTAATTACTTCACAGAGTACAAAATCAACAAATCAAAAGTGTCAGGACAGAGGTCAATTAGTCCATGACAATATAGAATTCAAATGAACATTTCTGGTCTCAAAAAATACCGATTCAACTAAAGATTCAAGTGATAGACAATTAAAAATATGTGTTTACATTGGAGTAAACTTTTAAAATGCTTTTTTCTCATGTTCTACTTTTTCATGTATCTATATGTAAATGTGAATGTGTGAGTGTATGAGTGTATGTGTGTGTATGTATGTGTGTGTGTGTATGTAAATTTTGGGGTTGTGTCTCCAGACTCCTCGAACCACCTGTAGGTGTCAAAGGTCACACTGTGGTGATGCAAACCAACTGGACACACTTTCAACTCTCATCCAGGTCTTTCCCTGATGCTCCACCCATCACGTCTCCAGAAACCTCTCTTTCATGGCCCCGGTCTCACTCACTCCCACTTACTTCTGTAGTGGGGGGAGGGGCAAGGAGGTGGCATTTCCCTTTGCTCTTTGATCTGTGACCTGTGGCTGGGTGGGCTTTGGTGTCCAGTGTCCAGCAGTGACCTCTCGTACAGTGAGGCAGAGTCTGAAAAACAATCCTTGAGACGGCCAATTTAAAAAACAATAGATATCAGTATGCGAATGAGATTGTTTTTCTCCCTAAAGTCAAAACAATTTTGGAGCGCTCTGGGTTTTCCCAAGCGCTATGTAAATAAAAGATTACTTATTATCTTACTAATGATGACATTTTTAAGACCAGAAACTCTTAATATAAAAAAACAAGACTCAAATCTAAAAAAACCTTTTTAAACTTTAAAAAATGTATTCTATTTTGTACTTCTGTACTGTGTGATGTTTTTAATCTTGGCTTGCTTGGGTTTCTTGAAATGCGCCATAAAATAGAATGAATTATTATTATTATTACTCAAATCGCAACTAAAACTGTATGAAAAATCTCTGTAAAAATGAATTTTGAAAAACATTAAAACAAAACTTGAAAACATGAAGTCAAAGCAAAAAGATTAACTAAACTGGATTAATCACTTTATGGAATTTCCCTTTTACACTTGAACATTTATAGCATATATTCTAATTTAAAATAATTGCTGCATTCTTCAAATGCACTCAATAAACTTTTAAAAACATTTTGAATTGGAAGACACTATCAAACTCTGCTCGCCCTGCAGTGAGCAGCAGCTGCAAGGCCAGAGCTATAGACAAAACAAAACTCACAAAACTCGCAGCTTTTAGACTGTAAATTGGGTCACAGTTTAACTTAATAATACTTTTACAGCTATCCTGTTCTATTCCTAATTCCCTCTTTCTTTTTAGACGAAGTCTACAATCATTAATCACTTTTAACTCAGATTCTAATTTAAATGTTTGAAAAACGGCTTTTGTAACTAAAATAAAAACATAAAAAAAAATTCTCACAAACAGCTATGAAATATATCAGAGATACAATAATGGACTCACAAAATAAGCAGCAGATTTAAAAGAAAAGCAAAGCTTTTTGTACTAATCTTTGGGTTTCAAAAACATACTAATTCAAAACTTATTCACTAATGGTGTTTAAAAACGTTTAACTGTGTCATAACACAATGTTCAAATGGCAAATTTAGCAAATTTAACGGAATAAAAACTATGAAAAGCCAGAAATCCTAAAAGCAGTAGCTTTGCTCTGATTCAGAGCCAGAGCAGCGAAGGAGGGGGCCGTTTCCCTGACAACGGCAGCAGATAGAGATGTGCACACACAGGCAAAAAGATACAGAAGAAGAACTTTCAAGATTACTTTTTAAAGCGAATATAACTGATGTTGTTCTTTAAACTTTTGTCATCCAATTCTAGAAATGGCCACTTTCCACACTAGTAACAAAAGGCACTCTTGTCTTTAAAGTTTACGCTTCTATTTTATCGAGGTAGCAAACTAATTTAAACTCAAAATCTCTTTCTAAAAAACAAAAAACAACTGTTGGATACAACCCTCTCATAGTTTAACTGTAGATAAAACTCTGCAAAAAAATGTAAATAACTCACGAAAGCTCTCATAGCTCAACTTTAGATAAAACTCTGCATTCTCCGGTGAACTCTGTTCAGGCCAAAAACAAAAACTCCTTTTTTCTGTATGTAATTTAAACCGTGATCACTGAAATATTGTTGATTCTTTACTTTTGTCATTTATCAGCCTGAAATTCGTCAATTTCAAAGCTTTTGTAACAAAGGCCTCCTTAACACGTTTCCCTTTTTATAATTACTTTTAATTTTACACCATGGTTTCACTTATGGATCCTCACTTATGGCCTTTACACTTTATGGATCCTACACTTTTTATGGCCTTTACACTTTATGGATCCTATTCACTTTAATGGCCAACACTTTTCACTTTATGGATCCTCACTTATGGCCAACACTTTATGGATCCTACACACTTATGGCCTTTTCACTTTATGGATCCTATACACTTATGGCCTTTTCACTTTATGGATCCTCACTTATGGCCAACACTTTTCACTTTATGGATCCTCACTTATGGCCTACACTTTTCACTTTATGGATCCTCACTTATGGCCAACACTTTTCACTTTATGGATCCTCACTTATGGCCAACACTTTTCACTTTATGGATCCTCACTTATGGCCAACACTTTTCACTTTATGGATCCTCACTTATGGCCAACACTTTTCACTTTATGGATCCTCACTTATGGCCAACACTTTTCACTTATTTGAACACAATTTAGAGAGTTCGACAGACCTCAAAAACAGACCAAAATTTAGCTAGTATCCAATTATACAGACTTTACATTTAAAAAGGTGTCTGCTTACCTTATTCTTGTCAAACAGGATCCAAGGACTGTCCGAGAGGTCTGCCAACTCTTTTCCGCGTCGAAAAATTCAATTTAAACACAAAACAGAGAAAGTGAGGGAGCAAGAGCAAGCCCATCCAAAAGCGAGCCCTTTCAGCGTCCACTGGGATTTCTCCCCTTCCAGATAACGTGCTGTTGCTCCCACACGCCGAAAAAAAAGAAACAGAGAAAACTCCCTCAAAACAATCCAGAGAATGGCACACACGGAGCCGCGCATTCTCCACCAAATCTGTCAGGATTCAAGCAGACAGAGACGGATCGTGGTGTGCCAAACTCTGGAAGTTTATTTAAGTTTCTCTCAAGTTCCACTGGTTTACTCTGTTTCTTTCTCTCAGACAGAATAAAGGCAGTACACAGTTTATATAGTCATTGTCACGTCACACATCGAAAGACATACGTGTCACAAAGAGACAGTCACATCATAGTCATAACATGGAGTCCTTGTAGAGTCCTTGTACAGTCCTGCACGTAGGCCATATTGCTATCTAATACTAACATTCTGTACACTTTATACTTATAGGCAAAGCGCTTCCCTGCATACATCAGAATATGGTTCTGAAAACTCTCCAAATCTGACGTAGTTCTGTAAAAATTAGATTGAAATTAGTGGTGGTCTATGCCATTAACATTATCCAAAGCATTACATTATGGCATTTACATTATCCAAAGCAACAAAAGGATAGAGAAAAAAATAGATAAACTGCACAAACATACCTGAATGTTATGTACTTTTTCACATTTTTAAGCCAGCGTTTATTCAAAACAATAGCAGTCAGGGTCTGATGAGCAGCAGAACCTGCAAGACAAGGAAGTTATGATACAGCTACTGTATTTCAACATGAAGTTTTACAAAATAAAATTTTCTAAATGAGTGAAACAAAATGCTCCATGTTACCTTGCTGTATCCACGGCTTATCTTGACTGCTGTCATCCAATGGCTCATGCTCACAGAACCCTGTGGCCCATGTGTGTTCATTGCGTACATGATGTAGTACTCCATGCCACAGTATCTGTAAAATAAAAGCATTGATAGATAACAATTGAAAATGGCACACACTTTGAGTATCTCTTGTTATTCACGTACCTTAAACTGCTCTACAGTACTTGCACGCTGACAGCAATACCAGAAATGGTTCACTATATCCTTTACCCAATGCATCAACACAGAATGTTCCTTGCCTTTTGCTGCCTGATAACAAAATACATTTATGAGAATGACTTTGTACCAAAGGTCTTTTCCTATTTGAGATTAAATCATTCAACAAATAACAGTGGTAATTGTGGCAATTTGACTTACTTCGCGTAGCTTCCTTCCAATATTTTTGGAAGCATGCCAGACATCCAGCGAATGGGTTAAACTCCAATCCTTGTATTTTCCACGTACTGGATCTGAAGATAATATATTTCCTAAGTTAAATTATTTTTGGATGAGAAGTTTGATTGAGTGTGAAATATACTTACCGAGCAAGGCAGATATTTGTACATGAGCATCCGTCACTACTTCTTTTATAGGGATTTCGTTGAGAAGGCAGTCCATTGTACTTTCAAAACAGACTTTCTCCAAGATGACCGAATTCCTGCCAAATCTCCTTTTGTCCTCGCTCACAATGTGCACAATGTCACGGGTCTCGTGCTCAATCATAGTGTATGTACAAAATTGTGCACAGTGGCCTACAAATAAACATTTGGTAAGTAACAAGAGTTTTTTTCCACATGGGAAGATTTTTGTATAGCATCACATACCAGGGGAGTCCATTCTGCCATCACCTGATAAAAGAGAAAAGATACAACTGAAATATAGCAATGTAATCTGCTTCCCAACAATGACACATATTGACAAGCAAACATGAAAATGACACTTACCAAGTACAACTACTTCAGTCTTTTGTCGAAGCTTGTTCAACACCTTCTCTCTACTCTCTTTCCAAAGCTCCTCTACAGGCTTTAGGCAGTATTCAGACTGTATGGCAAAAAAAGTAGTCTCTGCAACCATTCCCATACACATAAATTTGAAAAGGAGATGGATTTTTTTGTAGTTGTTTCCAGAGAGAAGAATGTTTGTTGACAGCATGAAATCGCCTCCTTGCATTCCAAATTTTAGGAGTGGCTGAGAATTCCAATGCCAAATAGTGTGTCCGTGAGGGCAAACCTAAGTAAAGACGAACAAAGCAATTAGCAATTCAATACAATCTCTCACAACCTTTACCAACACCCCCACATCAGGTGACACCTTTTTCCAGGCTCCCCCGAAAGTCGTTCTCTAAACAATGGTGGTGCTTGCATTTACACTTACCCATTCAAGAATGACACCAGTCCCTCTGGGCTTTAATTGCACATGAAAAGGAGGCCTTCCATTGCATAGTGTCCCCAAAATAGGATCTCGGAACTGACACAACTGTACAGGCAACTGCATGTACCTTTGAAAAGTAAAACAGGAAATGAGAGGCTGGCATAAGATAGTAGCTATAGGTCTTAGAGATTAATATACCTTGCAAGAGAGAGCAAGTTGTAAGTAAGTAAGTAAGTAATTTTTTTATTATATACCGCCTTTTCACTGCAGAATTGAGTCTCAAAGCGGTTTACAATTGTTAATTTTGGGCATTTGTCTCTCACTCCACACAGAGATGGGAGCGGGGTCGCCAGTACAGGAGGCACATGCCAGAACTATTGGACATATTTTTAGTGGTAGGGGAAACCAGAGTACCTGGAGGAAACCTACGCAGACACGGGGAGAACATGCAAACTCCACTCAGAAAGGCCCTGGTCCGACCGGGATTCGAACCCAGGACCTTCTTGCTGAGAGGCGAGAGTGCTATCCACTCAGCCACCGTGCCGCCCCATTGTCATTGTAGCAGATGCTCGCTTTCTTTCCTACGAGGTCCTCTACAGTCTCAACCTTGTGTCTTACAGGAATGTGTTGATCTTCTTCAGGCAATATGGGCACCTCCTCTACATCCAGCACAGCCTCATCTATGTGTATTTCAGGAAGCTTGTCAATTTCTGCCCTTGAAGCTCCAGTAGATCTGTTACAATAACATTGAGGAGTCAGTGTCATTAAACAGCTTTATATATTTTGTGACAAGTGGAAAATTACGATAAGTAATTTATGAACAGCACATACCGTAGATAGAGGAAAGGAACATAATCCTCATCAGAGTCGTCATCTTCCCAGCAAACAGCTTCCTCCATCTCAATCCTACACAGAAAAATACATATTGGTCTTGAAATGCACGCTTTATACATACAAAAAGGAAAAGGGTAATTTGCACACAATGTAAAGCACTTACATACTATTCTGCAAATCATTAGCAGCCTCTAGGTCGTCATCATGTTTTTCAGAAATTGCCAACGAGTGCATACTGCAAAAAATAATAAAAAATAAACAAACATGAGTATATTCTTCTCACAAAATGATTGATTATTATTTAATGGACTCACCTTGATTCAAGCACGTCAACTTTTTCACTTGCTGTGATCAACTCCTCTACACCTGAAAGGACCATTTCTTTACCCCTACACAAGTAGAAAAGAATGTTGAGCTATAATATCACTGAAGCTCTGGTTTGTCTTTATAGTTCTATTAGTTTATGTACAATCTGCTTGTGCAGGTGCAAAGCATAATTATTTTTATCAATAGCATTGTCATCAGTGAGCCATGTATAGTGTCTTATAATTATACCTCTTTGAATGAATATTTTGATTTGTACCACAAACTGTCTACAGCTAAAACATAGTGCAAACCTGTCATGATCCGAAGAGTCTGTAAGACTCGATACTGGTGGTCCAGGTTTTGCTGTGCCCTCTCCTTTGTATGGTGTGGATGTTGCTACACCTCTCCGTTCGTAACTAAACAAAAAGACAAGTCCTTGTATGAAAGCAATGCCAACAGCACAGGCAAAATGGGCCATAACAAACCGGTGCAATAATACAGTATGCCTATAAATTAAAAGTGTTGGTATTTCATTGAATCGGTAGATGGGCTAATAGCAGCCTGTTAGCTTGTTAGCCCTAGTTAGGCAAACACATCCACAGTATAATTACGTGCAAATAGAATCAGCAAAGCAGTATCATGGGGGTATAGAATTACCACCAACCAAGTTAGTTTTATGAAAGTAGGAATCTGTTACATATGCGAAATGTCTGAGATTTACACACGTAGCGCTACACACGTTAGCTTTGGTTTGTAGCCTGTTAGCTTCGTCTGCCCGTATTTTGCTTCTACTAAACAGCGAAAATAATGACAAAGACATTTTACTGTATACTAGGAGCAAAGACTTCACTTACCAGTCTAACAACGAAGTTGAAAAAACAGAATCAGATTTACATCCAGCTTCTTCTTTCAACCTGCGCCAACGAGCAAACTCCATTCCCAGATCAACCCTTGTTTTTCCTCGAGCACGATCCCTTTCACGTTTCCTCTTTTTAGCCTCCTCCGAAGGTTTAAACTTTTTCCTTGCCTCAGCCATGACCAGGAGTCGAGCAGGTGAAAAATGAGTAGCAAAAGCCTTAGCTCCATGAGTATATCAGCGCCTGTAGCCGTAAAGCAAATCTTTCTTCCAAGTCACGTGACCTGGTGGCAGACGGTCCGTCTGCTCTAAACTTACATGGGCGGTATTTCAAGAGGGCAGCCCCGCTCGGAGCATTGCAAGTGTCAAGCGCTGTATATTGGCCCAAGTATTCATATAAAATAACTCATATGTGTCAACTCTTTAGGTCACAAAGTCCGCGGTGTGCCTTTAAATAAGCAAAGACATTTGGGCATGCCCAACTTTTGTGCACAGGCCAAAATGAGGCGGGTGTAACTCTGCTCTGACAGCAGCCCAACTCTATCACACAAAAAATCATATATTGACTGCATCGCTATATAAGATGCAAAATTCAAATCATTTGTCAAAAGTTTACAAATGTTGTCCTGAAAATCCTAAAAACTCTAAAAACCCAGCACGAGAGAATGAAAAAACCTAAGGGAGGCCCACAATGAGGGAGGGATCCGCTCCCACGGATGGACTATAGATCCAGAACTCTGCAGAGGCTGCAGAAGAAGAACCAAGGCTACACGGTGCAGGACTAAGGCTGCAGAACAAGAACCAAGGCCACGCGGTGCAGGACTAAGGCTGTAGAACGAGGACCGAGGCCACGCGGTGCAGGACTAAGGCTGTAGAACGAGGACCGAGGCTACACGGTGCAGGACTAAGGCTGCAGAACGAGGACCAAGGCTACACGGTGCAGGACTAAGGCTGCAGAACGAGGACCAAGGCTACACGGTGCAGGACTAAGGCTGCAGAACGAGGACCAAAGCTACACGGTGCAGGACTAAGGCTGTAGAACGAGGACCGAGGCCACGCGGTGCAGGACTAAGGCTGTAGAACGAGGACCAAGGCCACACGGTGCAGGACTAAGGCTGTAGAACGAGGACCGAGGCCACGCGGTGCAGGACTAAGGCTGTAGAACGAGGACCAAGGCCACACGGTGCAGGACTAAGGCTGTAGAACGAGGACCGAGGCCACGCGGTGCAGGACTAAGGCTGTAGAACGAGGACCGAGGCCACACGGTGCAGGACTAAGGCTGTAGAACGAGGACCGAGGCTACACGGTGCAGGACTAAAGCCTGGTTCACACGGCAGGATAATTAGGCGGATTTTGGACCCGATTTACCCCTACGACAATCGTAAGAACGCTCCGAATATCGTAACAAAAAATCTGATGGATTGTCCTGCCGTGTGTGGTGTGTTAAGACTGCGCTCGTCGTTCTGAAGGACTTCGGGACTGCTCCGATCTCAATATCGGGGATATCCAGCATGTTGGATTATTTTGGCCCGATTTCTCCTCATGTGTGGTGTCCCCCGGGTACAGACGAGCGCGTTGCCATGACTGCAGCATGTAGCCAATCAGAAGACGAGACGAGCCGGCGAGGAAACACTGTAAAAAAACAACTCACCTCCATATCTCGAGGGGGGGGGGGGGGGTACTCATGCAGCCCACAGGTCCAGACTGGGGGAGACAGTCCAGTCCTCAGGTCAGATGATGAAGCAGGCAAGCCTAATGTAGGGAGCCACTGCCCTGCACAGAATGAAAACACACACACCATGCACTTCTCCTGAGAACAACAATGTGCTGGTGAGAGGGTTTGTCCGATGAGTCTGCCTCCAGGAAGTCTATCAACAAAACATGTGGTAATTTAGCCACTTTTTTAACTTTCTTTAAACTCTCCCAGCAAAAAACTATCCCAGACTAATGACGCGTTCAGACCGGATCATGCGTTGCGTCGGGTTTCAATGCAAAGTCTTTGGTGGAGCAGTGTCACAACGCACAGACCGCTCGGCACGCACGGACGGACTGTTCAGTAGACACTTACGGACTTGGCGGAAAAGTCAAAGGGGAGGAACAGGAGAGAAAAATCAACGCCCACAGGAGATGGATTCTGCTCATCCTTTCCTTGGGACGTTCGTGCGACAACCAATCAGAGAGCAGCAAAGTGGTCACGGGGACATTAGCGGACTGAGCGAGCAGACTGAAAATACTCGTAAACAGCCAAAACAGGACCCACACCAGACTTCACCAGAACTCAAACCAGGGCTGACAATGGGGGACTCTGTGCTTGTGAAAATATGCGTTGTCATGCTCTCGTGACCTTATGCAACTGCTTCGAGTGTGTTCGCCGATGCGGAAACAACGTGGAAGAATATGAAAACACGTACGGCGCACCTCCGTGAACACATACTACTGTTATATAAAGCCCGTGGTAAGTCTCGAGTTCAAAGACACGCTGCAAAGCTGCATATTGGAGAAGATCTGTACACAAGAAACCGCTAGCATACCTCTGTTAGCATCAGAGCCTGCCGGCTACTTCCGGCACTTCCGGCTCGCGTCAGGACGTTCTGGTGTGAAGTCCCCCGTGTCTGAAAACTAGAGAATGCGCGTCTGGTGAGCGGGGCTTCAGCGTTTCAGCGTTTGCGGTCTGAATGCACCATAAGGAAGAAACATTCAAACTCCACACAGACAGGGTTAGCATGGGAATCAAACACATGACTTTACAGCTGCAACGCATGAGTGCCACAGGGGAATATTTTATTTGAAAAATAAGTTTCTGCTTTAGCTTCCAGGATCTTGAGATCGTTTGTTGAACTGACAACCTATTACCCACATCTTGGTAAGAAATAAACCTTACATAAACAAATGAAAACATTTTTTTCAGATTTTTTATTATGACATAGTATATTTTTGTTGTTGTAAAATACATATTTTGGACCACTCACTCCCTGTTTCTCTGTGTAAAATGACAAACTCATGACAAATGATTTTCAGGTTCTTTTACTTGTTTTTAGATGGTCTTAATGGTCATGGGCCTTCTTATCTCTCAGAACTGCTTTTATCCTATGAGCCTTCCCGGCCCCTGCGCTCCTCCGGCAGCAGACTCCTAACCATCCCCAAAGTCAGGACACACACTCACGGCGAGGCATCTTTCCAGCACTACGGCCCCCGTCTCTGGAACAGTCTGAAGAGGAGCTCAGGGCCCTATAGGGAACATTCATATTTTTAAAAACAGGCTCAAGACGCACCTTTTTAGATTTGCTTTTGATATTAGTATTTATTATTCCATTTTATATATTCTATTTATCCTTTAGACACATTTTTATTCTATTTTTATGATTTATTATTAATATGTATCGTGATAGTTTCCTTTTAGTCTCACATTTTAATGTTTCACTTTTTTATTGTATTGATTTCAGTATCCCCAGCATTTCCTCTGGAGGAGCCCTCTGCACTGGGAGCGGTGGTCTGCTGTGGCTGCGGGGGTCGGACTCTTGGACCTGGTGGGGGCCTGGAGCCTCGGCTTCATGTCTCCTCTGGGTCCTGTGTCGTCCCCTGTGGCTGCAGGCGGCTATCTGCTCCTGGTGCAGACGGCTCCTTGATTGGCGCTTCTTCACCTGGTTACATCTGAACCCTGCCAAGTCTCTCTTCATGGTTTTACTGGTATGTCGGTGCGTGTGTGAGCGTGCGTGAGAGCATGTTTGTGTGTGAGAGTGTGTGTGTGTTTGTCTGCGCGTGTGTGTGTCCTTAATGATATGTGGTTTAGGGTGGGTAAGTCGGGAGGGAGGGAGGGGGGGTCATGCGCAGAATTGTTTTTAAGCAAACTGTAAAGCAGATTGTCATATTTGAATATTGCCAGCTATATTAAAAATGGCTTCCATTTGCATAAGAAGGAGTTATTTCCCATGTAGCCTCAGTGGGTTTAATGCTGTAAATGACCATCCTTGTTCAGGAGATTAGAGAGTGAGACTGGGATTTTTTGGCTTCCATTAATCTCCTCTAAGACCCCTCATAAAAGCTTAGTCCAGATGATTTTGTGAAATGCTGACCGTGCCGTTCTTTCTGGCAAATACCGCCGTTTTATAAACAACCAGCAGCTACTTTTCCTTTGTTTGAACCAGTGGTAAATGCTTAACTAGCAATCTGCGTGCCATTGTTCCAATCCTATTCTTGGATATCCCCGTGTTTCTCAGCCGTGGTGCATGAGAGTATAGGAAGCAGTTCAGCATACACAACATTTCTTGGTTTAATTGGGAGTTCAAAGATTCCAGAAGCTTTTATCGTTTATTTCTGCCATTCATCGAGGCCATATATATCACGGTAATATATAAAGTTCTCGCCGCTCTGTTTACATGTTATCTGTTACATTCTAGAATAATATTAAATAACAATTAAAATGGCCATCTATTATTACAACAATGTTACTCTAGGAAAGTCAAGATAATTAAATATTACAGAACCTTAATCTGGGATAAGACATTTACATATATCATTATTTCACCCTTATGTTATCTTCAGGTCAATTTGACCCGCTACAGTGATTAAACATTACCCTAAAAATGTTATGGTAATTTGAAACCCTGGATCATTTAAACCCTTTTAGACCCTAATTTAAGGTACTTTTCTTTGAATTACTGTGGCGGATCGTTTTGACCCAAAGTTAGCACATGGTTAAACCAACCTTGTGAAATCAGTATTTATTATATTATGACAGTGATGAACGTATAAATAGGTTATTCATTTGGTTGTCTACAGTAGATGATTTGGAAAAGTGAGTGCTATTTTGCGTTTTCTGTATGAAAAGTGCTTTATAACAAACATTTGATTAATTTATTGAAATGTTTGTTCTTTTTGTCATGGTAGTCGAGAGCATGGTTTGAATCCACCACAACATGAAACATTATAAAACATGTTCTTCACATTATTATGCTTAATGCCTGTTTTAAATTTAGATTAAGTATAGTTAATTATTTACTCCTTCAACTTAAGAATGGCTACATATTAGTTTCTGAAGCATATCTGGACTGCTGTGACATCCTGAATCAGCAGTAAGGCTCTTGTAATGGCAGAGAGAATACTGTACATCATGAATCAGTGAGTGAATCCTCATGAATCAGTGAGACAAAGTCTGGGTAAGAAATCTAGAATTTCTCCAACACGGTCTGTCATTGCACTGGGGGATGAGGAACAGTAAAACAGCAGTGAGAAATTTGGTCGTTATGGCAGTTTCTTCTTGCCCAAGCGAGATAGCAGCCCCGTGTTTGTCCCTACACCACCACATGCACGCACATCGTCCTCCTTTACAGTCTACGGTTACGGCAACCAATCAGAGAGCCGCAGAGTGGTCACAGGGACACTGGCGCTCTTAGCGAGAACACTGAAGATACTCGTAGACAGCCAAAACAGGAGCTACACCAGGACTAAACCAGTATGAACCCAGGACTTAAGCAGGACTGACAATGGGGGACACAGTAATTGTTTTCATTCTCCCGTGACTGTAACCAAGTGCCGCTAACGTGTTTGCCAATGGGAAATAACCGTTTGATAATAAAATAAACTTAAGGCACAGCTCCATGAACACATACTGCTGTTATATAAAGTCTCTGGAGAAGAACTTTACGCAAAAAGCCACTAGCTTAACTTGGTTTGCACCAAAGCCCATCCGCCACTGTGCGTGGAACATCCCTTCATGCTGTTTTTTCTCCTGATTGGATAAAAACCGTAGGGTACAAGAGTTTTCCCCTTGACTTCAGCGCAGAGCAGAGTGACTCACCTGGCACCCACCGCACGCATCTTATGAGAGAGATCTGTGTTTTGGCTATTTAAGACTTATATTAACACTTCTGATTTAATTAAATTACAATTAAACTTATTTGAATGAAGAAGAAACTATCAGTATTTTCTCTTTGCATACAGAAATGGAAAAGTTCAGTTTACACACCAATTAAGAAAAAAACGTTAATGGTACATTTGGCGCATATAGATAAAACGTCTGCTTTAAAAGAAGAGGACATTTATTTTGTAAAGCCAGCAGCCTGACTGGAAGGCTTTAGACAATGGTTGGTTTACTAGAAAATGGATGAAAGATTGAACCCATTTTTACCTTGGTTTTTACGGGATAAATGTATATATTTTGTTTACGTTCAGAACCAGAACTCTGACACATAATGCTAGAACCACTTCTGTTGCTCTGCTTGGTTTGTTTCACAGCATGGGATTGAAATAGTCTGAAATATGTCTTTTTTTTTTTAAGTCAGTATGTTTAGGAGTCTTGTTAAAATGTGAAACCAATATAAATATAGACTCACATTCAAAGTGATGTTATTTGCTATATTTTCGATGGTTATGTATAGTTGAACAGTTCATCTCCATTGTTTTTACATGTTTTGTTTGTCTCACTGCTCATAATAACCCCAATTACATTTTTAACAAACAATGGCTCAATATACAATTTCTCATTGGGTGTACGAGTCCATTATAATATTTTAGTCTCACACTGTAAGTTGAACCATGAAGTAAAAATAGACCTAAGAACAATAATCTCATATTTTGCACATTATAATCACACTATCCACGAGCATCGAGACTCAGTTGAACTTTGCCATTAAAAGTAATTGTAATTATCCATGGACTACACGATTTAGACACAAAAATATACAAAT